ATCTGGCCTGGAGAAATCAGTGAGGGCCTCCAGGAGGAGGTGACCCAAGGAGAATCTTGATGGACAGTGAGGAGAGGAGGCGTGGAAGGGAGTCTGGGCGAGGGGAACAGCACGTGCAGAGGCACGGAGGCACTGAGGACCTAGAGCAGCAACCTTTGAACCCCCCATCACCGTCTGTACTTCCTGCCTCTTCAAGTGCTGACACCTCTGTGGCGGGCTGGGACCTCCCATGGCCAGGGAGATGGTTCCACGTGGCCCACTGTTGAGGGCCTTGCATATAATGAGCCATGTCCTTGTCTTTGAGGGAGTGCAGTCTCCGGTAGCTGCTACTGTGTCTTTAAGTCCTTTCCTCTTAGACACTTGCCACTTTCTCCCACCCGTCGAGCTTTAAAAACAGTAGGTTTTCTGGGCAGTCACAGAAATGTCCCTCGTCTTGATCGAGGGGGCGGTTACAAGGGTGTCTGTAATATTTAGCAAAACTCCTCAAGCCCCACTCCCTAAATCTGCATATGGAAGTTATACCTCAATAAAACCAGAGTATCAGGTGGGAAAGGTGGTGGGCCTTGAGCTCAGAGCCTTTGGCCGGCCACAGCGTCTCGCTTGAGTTTAGTAACTTTTATTTCTATTGTATTTTTATGCTACCTTCTATTTATGGAGGTGACACTGATTTTCCATCTGTGGTAGTGGTGTCAGGTTTCCCCTTTAAATGAAAAAAAAAAAGTAGCCTGTGAATGGGCTTAAATAGAAATATTAGGTAAATCATGTTTACGGGGGGTAATTGATGGCTCCAGCAAAGATCGTGCACGTGGTCAGAAAAGGCAAGATTTCTGGCAACGGTGGTTCTGAGGTGACACTTGCTTTGGTCCAGTGCTGTGTGGGCACTGCGGTGACAGGGAAGAGCGTTGTCACGAGGCTGGCAGTTCTGTAGGGGGAAACAGTGAAGGGTCCTGGCCACCGGGATGTTCTAGTGATGAGCCCTTGAGCTGTGAGACTTACCGTCCAGTAGCCAGAGGACCGAGAGTTTAGCGATCTCCAGTTACCTTTATTTTTCCTGCTTGTTGTTTGAGTTTCTTGGGGAAGAAGAAGAAGAAGAAGAAAAAAAAGAAGAGAAAAAGTCTGCTGCTTGGATTATCATTAAAACCTGTGCAAACCCTTCAAATCCTTCTGCTTGGCCAGGCAGCCTCTGTTTCTGACCGCTGGCAGGGAGCATGTGTGATGTGTGATCGAAAGGCGGAGTTCTGTGCCTTTTCACACCAGCCTTGACGGGCTCTTTCTGATAAGACATAATGCAGCTTGTCTGATAAGGCCGGAATTTTTACTAAGAGACCTGGTGTGTTTTGTTTTGCCGGTTCAAAGGGTGATGGATTATCAGAATGTTGTTATGGATTTGACTTTAATCTCTTTGTAGGCTAAAAATCTAGGCTCTGCCAGGAAGGCGCACACACACACACGTGTGTGTGTGTGTGTGTGTGTGTGTACGCATGTACAAACCCAAGTTTATATCGATATGCAGCTTCACAAGAACGCTGAACCCTACAGAGTCTAGCTAGAAGAATCAGAGGGTTTTACAGAAGCAGCTGAGGAGACACACGGCTGGCTGGGTGGCAGAGGGAACTCCCTCCAATCCCCGCGTCCTAAACCAGGGTGCCCTCACTGTGTATCATCACCACCACCTTTAAAAGAAAAACGTGTCTCTTTGAGGAACTGTGTTTCTTCTCTCAGGGTGCTACAGAAATCAGTGTCCCCTTTCTGCCAGACCACTGTGCCCACCCCCCCACCCCCAGTTACTTAGTTCCCCTCCTTGGAGGAAGTCCCCATTTCCTGTAACTTCCAGCCACATGGTGTGAGTGTGTGTCTGTGTGTACCTCTTGCTTTTCTCTTTTAACTGTATCTTGCGGCCATTCCATTTGCACGCAGAAAGAACGCTTGCAGCCCTATCTCTAGCCGTGTTGTACCCCCTCCCCAGCCGATGGACACCAGGTTGTGTCCAGTCCTTGGGGACTGCAGACAGGGCAGCACTGCCGCATCTGCCACTTTGTTTTGCACGTGGCAGGCTTCCTCTGCAGGGTCAATTTCTGACAGTGACATTGCTCACTTCCAGGGATGTATGTGTTCAGGATTTTCACAGATAGTTCCAACTTCCTTCTTTCTACCTTTTGGTTTGGATAGTTGCATCTTTGAATAGTAGCTTAATATTTCACATGGACACTTTCGAAGTTAACCATTTTATTCATTCACCCAACCAACGATACTTTTTTAAAGGGCTTGTTTTGTGGCAGGTCCTGTGTCCTTGCTAGCAACTCAGTGAGAAGCTAGCAACTCAGTGAGAAGGGAGAGAGTCCTCATGAACTTGACTTATGCGGGGGATGCAGCTGGAGGCTGGGAGAAGGACCAATAATAAACAAATAAGTGGACTTGTGGGAAGTGCCCGGGGCAGAGTAGGGAAGTGTGAGTGGGGTCTGATCTGGTCACGGGGTCAGGAAGCCCCCCAAGCACCTGATACTTCACCTGGAGGGTTATGAGTAGCTTTAGTTATGTAGAGAAGGGGCTTGAGTATGGATAAGAGCAGAGCAGTTGAGGTTGAGGGAGCAGCAAGTGCAAAGGTCCTGAGGCAGAAAGAAACTCAGGGCTTTTTATGAACAGAAAGATAGCCAGTTTGGCTAGAGTCCCACAGGAGAGGTGAAGCAAGGTGGGCGGGCAGGGCCTAGCCAGGCTGGCCTTGTTGGGTTCATTTAACTTTACCCTAAGAGCTGTGGGAAGTCATTTCTGGGCTCTCCTGTGGGGTGGGGACACCATTTGGTCCCTAGAAGATCAGGTCAGCTAAATTAGACTCCAGAATGGTGCAGAAAGCACCGAGGAGGTTGAGGATCCCCTGGGCAGCCTCCTTACTCCCCCCAGTGGGCCAGTCACACAGCTTTAGGAAGAGGTCCCATGTGTGTCTGGCAGGCCCTGGAACTGCCTCTTTCACTTAACCTATTCACTCAGTCACTCAACAAACGTTTCTGGACGGCCTATAAGCGCCTGTGCCAAGCAGCGCAGCACAGTGAGAGATGTGGCCCTGTCCTGGGGGGAGGGGACTCTCGAGCAGGCTCACACGCTTCTACAAAGTGCGAGTGGCAGGCACGGTGGGCTTTGTGGGTCCCATGGTCTCTGTCACAGCCACCCACTCTGCTGTTGTGCTGCAAAAGCAAGCCACAGACCTTACGTAAACACCCGGGAGTGTCTGCGTCCCAGTAAAACTTCGGAAACAATCCATGGGCCGGGTCTGGGCTGGGGGCTGCTGTTTGCCTGGCCCTGGTCTAGGGCTCCAGAGTTCTCTGAACGGATAACTGAGGTGCTGAGAGCCAGTGACTGGTGTCAGTGGGGAAGGGATGTCCAGGGAATGGGGTGGGGCAAACTGCCAGGACAAGGACAGAGACCATCTTTGTGATGGGTCAGCCGGGGGAGGTGCTGGCCGTCTGAGCAGACCCATGAAGGGGTTAAGGGAAGCAGCCGAAGTGAGACCTTGTGTGGGGTGGGGGAGAGTTTCCAGGCAGAGGGGAAAAAACACAGTCGAGAACTCAGAGGCAGACTTGGCTGGAAGAAAAGCAAAGGTGTCAGCCGGGCGGGCGGGAGGTTCCTGAGTCAGGCTGGGGAAAAGTGGGGAGGGGTGGGAGGGGCCAGATGGGCCAGGGCCCAGGGACAAGTGTGCTTAGGATTCTAGGCCACATCTAGCGTGTCAGGGAAAGCCTTGGAAGTAGATTTCACAAATGGACGTTTCCAAAGACTGCTGTGTGGAGGATAGACCTTACGAGGCGAGGGCAGAGGTTGGGACGCCGGGGACACAGGGGTGGAGTGGGAGAGGGCGGTGGCTTGGACCAGGGTGGTTGTAGTTGGGGGAGGGGGGCACATGAATTCGGTTTATAATTAACAGTAGAGCGGTCAGGATTTGCTGATGGGTTAGATGTACGGGCATGACAGAGAAGAGTCCAGACCAAATCAAGTAACGACAGAGAGGGTGTAGGGACGGACCCCTGTTGAGCTGGGAAAGTGATTGACTGAGGAGTGGGTGAGGGTGGCGGGGATGGATAACTAGCTCCCTCACCAATTTCATTCTCCAGCCATGGGCCCCTTCGAGGTGGCAGCGGTGGCCGGAGTCAGATGGCCCCTCTTCAGGAAAGAATCAGGGCATTCTCCACCTGCTGGTTGTGATCAGTCGGGAGACCCTGGAGCCAGAGCCTCGCCTTGACTTCTGCAAGCCAAGTGTTTTGGCTGTGGGATTTCTAATTCTGCTAATTCTGCGTCTCAGAGCCGATCTCTCCCCTTCCCAGGGCCTCAGTGGCCTTATTTGTAAAATGGCATGTGAGATGCGGCATGTGTCAGGAGTCTGGGCTCCGAGCTAAGCCACTTCTTACTCAGGCACAAGGATTAGGGGTTTGACGCCAGAGTTCCGAGACCCAGGCCCCTGCAGCCTCCCCCTGCGTCCTTTGTCTGTGTCAGACACGTAGAGTGATGAGGGTCAAACTGTGGGTCACGACCCACGGGTGAGACAAGAAATCTGTTGATGGGGTTGTGACCCGCATGTAAATAGAGTAACCTTGGACAGGAGGAGAGATGAGGGTACCACGAGTAGCGGGGTAAGTATTGCTTTGGGAAACCTTTGTTTCTGGTGGGAGTGAGAATGACGGTGCGCAGGAGGTCGTGAGATAAAACGCATTTCTTCTGAGGGCCCCAGGTTCCGACGAAGGTCTGGAAGTAGTTAGCCCAGAGGGTCACCCAGGCCTCTGGCTGCTGCTGCGGCCCTGAAACCTTCCCACGTAGATCTCACCCTTGAAGGAATCTGGGATGTCACGCCCTGCCTTTCCTTCTGGTGAGGGGAGGAGGGTCCAGCTTGGGGTTTGGCCCCGGGGGAATTAAAATAATAACAATAAACAGCACGAAACCCAACCTGCGAATGCTCTGCATTGGGAGTTCTGTTTTAGAGGCTTAAAAAGACCCCTCCCTCCCCCTTCTCTTTCCAGAAGAACCGAATGCACATAAGGTCGCCAACCCACACTCCGGACTTGCGTACCCTGATGATGGCCTGGACTATGGCCTCAAGCCATACAGCCCCCTCGCCAGTTTCTCTGGCGAGCCCCCCGGCCGATTCGGAGAGCCGGATAGGGTAGGGCCCCAGGACTTTCTGAGCCCGGCCAAGCCAGCGGGGGCCTCGGGCCTGAGCCCTCGGATCGAGATCACTCCATCCCACGAACTGATGCAGGCAGGGGGGCTCCGCGTGAGAGACACTGGCCTCCTGGGGGAGCAGGCGTCGCTGGCGGGGGTGGCCGCCAGCCCGAGGTTCACGCTGCCCGTGCCCGGCTTCGAGGGCTACCGCGAGCCGCTTTGCTTGAGCCCCGCTAGCAGCGGCTCCTCTGCGAGCTTCATTTCCGACACCTTCTCTCCCTACACCTCGCCCTGCGTCTCGCCCAATAACGGCGGGCCCGACGACCTGTGTCCCCAGTTTCAAAACATCCCTGCTCATTATTCCCCCAGAACCTCGCCAATAATGTCACCTCGAACCAGCCTCGCTGAGGACAGCTGCCTGGGCCGCCACTCGCCCGTGCCCCGTCCGGCCTCCCGCTCCTCGTCGCCTGGTGCCAAGCGGAGGCATTCGTGCGCCGGGGCCTTGGCTGCTCCGCTGCCCGGAGCCTCGCCCCAGCACTCCCGCAGCCCCTCGCCGCAGCCCCCGGACGACGGGCCTCCCCCTGGCTACTCCCCAGCGGCTGGCTCTGCCGTCCTCATGGATGCCCTGAACAGCCTCGCCCCGGACTCACCTTGTGGGATCCCCCCCAAGATGTGGAAGACCAGCCCGGACCCGTCGCCGGTGTCTGCCGCCCCGCCCAAGGCCGGCCTGCCCCGCCACATCTACCCGGCCATGGAGTTCCTGGGGCCCTGCGAGCAGGAGGAGCGGAGGAACTCGGCCCCCGAGCCCATCTTGCTGATGCCGCCGACCTGGCCCAAGCAGCTGGTGCCTGCCATCCCCATCTGCAGGTGAGTCCGGCTTTGGAAACGACCCATTCCGGGAAACAGTCAGTCTCTGCAGGAAAAAAATCACGGCACATAATTCTGGAGCACGTGTCGTGCTTATATAATCTCCATGTGCCCTTTTCATAGTTGAGGAAGCAAGGCCCAGGGAGGTGAAGGGGGAGTTAGAGGTGTTGCTGGGACTTGAACTTGGGCGGGTAACTCCAGTCATGCTCCTGACCTTTAATATTAGGGAGTCTGAGTTTCTTGGCTCCTCCACTCCCAAACCAGACGCCTTTCTGGGGTTGGATGTCCTACACTGGACACGATAAATCGTAACCATGACGGGAAATGTCCTCTCTCTAAATCTTACGTTTCCCTGAGATCGTCATACACAGAAGCAAGAGCTGAAACAGCTCTCAGATGCTGGCGAAGCCATTTGCTGTGTGGTTATGGGAGGCCGAGGGTCCGAAAGCGGTTACCTGCCGAAAGTCACACGGCAGGGTAGCGACACACATGGTGTCACCACCCTGCTCCTCGCTGCAGTGTTCCGTCTCCAGTGAAGAGGAAGGCGTCCTTGGGTTTCTTAGAGAGGTGGGAGGTGCTACTCTTCAAATTCCCAGAGAAAAAGAAGGTGTAGCCATCAGAAACCTGCTAAATACAGTGTCCAGCACAAATAACGCCCCTCTTTTATTACCAAATCATAAGCATGTGATTCTGTCACATAACAACATCACGCTCGAGCGCGCCTAACACCATTTTCGGTGAAATGTTCAAATGAAAACGGCGAATGAACACACCCATGTTATCACCCCACCAACGACACTCGGGCAGACGTTTCCTCTGCCGGACGCTGGGCAATGAAACCAGCTTCCTGAACTGAGCTGTCAGCCACACCGTCCTCGTCAGGATGGACGAGAAAGCAAAGGGGACGCTCTCCATCTTAGGGAGGGGCCCTCCCCATCCCGTCTGAGAAACATGCCCCCCCAACAGCCAGCATTTCATTTGTATGCCCACGGGACATGATTTTCAGAAAAGGGGGCTGTTTACGTTATTGTACCTACGACTGACTCCGTTTCCTTCTTCAGTATCCCAGTGACCGCGTCCCTCCCGCCACTGGAGTGGCCACTGTCCCACCAGTCAGGCTCCTACGAGCTGCGGATTGAGGTGCAGCCCAAGCCACACCACCGGGCCCACTACGAGACGGAGGGCAGCCGCGGGGCCGTCAAAGCACCTACTGGCGGCCACCCTGTGGTTCAGGTATGGGCTCGAATTCTTTTGCTTTGTGTTCCTCACTTGTTACTAGGTGATTTGCTTCTGCAAAGTCTCTGCCTGTGGCTTGTCAGGTTGAGGGATGTGACTCAGCCTTTTACTCTTCTGAGAGATGGGACATTTGAGATTGAATTAGTGTCTGGAGCTAATCCAGCTACAGAGAAGCCAGAGAAGCAAGTCTTCTTGGGCTGGATGAGGACAGGAATGATATGCATGCTCAAGCTGCTTCTCCTCTTCTCTGTCTGATTGAGAAGCTGCCGGAGTTTCTCAGACATTTGTGTGTTGCCGGGCGGTTTCTGTAGCCATCCTTTTGTATTTAAGCTTCAGATGAGAGTTTATGGAGGCAAATCAATGTGCTCTTGAAGTAGTAACATTTTAAAACCGCACATAGTCAAACCACCTAAAAGAAGTATTAATAACATTTAGCTATATTTCCTGTTGCTTTTTTTCTATTCCCAAACATGGCAATGTCTATTACCATGCAGCTACACACTTGACATTGCAGTAGTTTGTACTCTGATGCTTTTTCCTTTTATTTTACATTATACCATGAATATTTCCTCCTGTCTTTTTCTTAGTAGTTATCTTTTATGTCTGTGGCTTTTAATACAACCTCAGGGTTTCTTTTTTCCTCAAAATAAGTAAAGAAGAGGTTTTTTCCCCCTCCAAAAATAATCAGAGTTGAAACAGTCTTAATTATCTAGTCTAGTTAACCAGCAACTGCTAACTACTGCCCACCAACCAACTCAATTTCAATACATGTAAATTAGTTTCACTTTTTTTGTATTTGCTCTAAGGTATTCTGCTAAGTATTATATGATAAGAATTCTGTGAGAAGCAGCTGATACAATTGCACATCAGAACTCTCTAGAGTAGTTGGTAAAAATGCAGATTCTTGAGCATCTCCTGACACCACTTAACTGGAAGCTATGTGACATGAGCAGAGTTCAGATAACAAACAAACAAATGCAACACTCCAAATCTTCATGGTGCTTTGGCTGTGCTCTCCTGGTTAAGGCCTCTTAGGATTATATTAGGAACTTAAGTCCTGGCAGTTGCTTTTTCTAAATCTGACATCACAACCATCTTGGGATCTCTTTCTATTCATTGCTTTTTTTTTCCCTCACCATGAGTCCCTCTTTCCTCGCACGTCTAGTCATTGTCGACTGTATTCTGACATTGTGATGATAACGTATACTAGACATTATGGAGACTCTGGATTTTGTTATCTTCCTCTAAAGGCTTACCTGTTTTAGGGTGGGATCCTCCTGTCTTGGAGGGTGGCGTTAGTCTGTGTGGTGGAGTCAGGGCCTTCGGTGGTCATCAAGAAACTCACACAAAGCAGATCAGAAAAGGGGGTCTGTCCGAGGAGACTATTACATGAAACCAATAGAGTCAGTTCAAGAAGAACCCAGACTTGGGAAGTCACCACTGACATCTTACTTCTTTGCTCAGGCAGTTCATTCAGCAAGCAGGTTCATTCTGCAAGTATTTGCTGGGCACCTACTTTTTGTCATATACTGTACTCGATACTGAAATACAGTGAAGAATAAAACGGTTATGATCTCTTTCATCATGGAGCTCATGTTCTAAGGGGAGAGAGGCATCAACTAATCACACAAATGATAAAACTACTAATGGTGGCAAGTGGCATGAAGCAAAAGCAGGTGGGGCTCTGGGAGGAGGAGCCCATGTGCATGGGAAGGACATCTGTTCAGATTTCCTGGAGGAGGAGGCAGGGACTAGACCTGAGGGGCTGCATAGAGGGAACAGCACCTGCAAATGGCCAGAGGCAGAAGGAAGCGAAAGGAACTTCAACAGAGGACCTTAAGGTTAAGGAGGCCAATGTAACTGGAGCATGAGGGGCCAGAGGGAGAGTGGAGGGAGGCAGAAAGGGGCCAGGGGCATGCGGGACCTGGATGGCCTTGGGGAAGAGTGTGGCTTTTATCCAGAGATGTGAGAAGCAGGAAGGAAACATGATGTGATTGAGGCTTCCGTCAAACCCCTCTCCGATTGCTCCTTTGGGGGGAGGAGCTGAGGTGAGGAGACGAGTTAGGAGGCTCTGTTCTCTTGGAATCCCTTCATTCTCTGATCTGTCAACAAATGCTCATTGAGCACCACTATGTGGCCGGCGTGGTTCTAGATTCTGGGGCAGGGTACGAACACAACAGCCAGAAATTCTCATCCTCGTGAGCTTGCAGTTGAGCAAGATGATAAGAATAGCATTTAGCACATGTCAGAACCTGGTCCAAGTGCTGTATGTGTGAACTTATTTGATCTTCAGAAGAGCCCCGTGGAGCAGGTTATGGTTAGGTCAAGGAGTTGTCAAGGAACTCATTCAAGGTCATGGTTATTCAGTGGTGGACATTGGACTTAGACATGGGGGTCTGTCTCCACCTTGTACACTATGTTCTCAGTCTTCCGTGTCTCTCTGCAGACCAGCTTTCCCTGCATCTCACTCTCACCAGGCAGAGGGGGTCCAGGCGGAAGTTGCCCACGCCTCCTGCCTAGGAATTTCACATGCCCAGTGCCGGCCCCTCGCCAGCTCAACGGGGCCAAACCCTGATTCTCAGGGAGATTCTAATGGGCCCGGGTTGGGAGGGTGCCAACCACCGGTCCAGTTAGCGTGGCCAGTGAGGTCAGGCCACGTACAGTGTAAGCTTCGCTCACCCATTCATCAGGGCTGGGGCCATGGAAAGTTCCAGAGAAAAGAAGGGATGAAGGTGCAATTCAAAAGACACCCTCTGTACAGCACCCGAAGTTCATGTCCTTCCTTCCAGCAGCCCCCAAGGCTCCACTCTTACTCTTGCTCATGACTTTGAAAACTCACTGTACCACCTAAAAATTTGTAGTCATCACAAAAGACACAGAGTGTGAAGTCTCTTTTTAAAAAACCATTTGCATAGTTTCTGTGCTCTTCAAAATGAAATGTGCTAACCCCTGATTTTTAGCATAGGTCGTCAGTTTTTGAAAAACTTCTTTGAAACCCAAAGAAGAGAGGGACTTTATGAAGACAAGTGCTCTTAACCTTTAAGCAGGTGCGAAAACCCCTTTCGAAATCTGGAGGGTGTCCTTCTGGGAAGAAGAGCAACGGAGCCCTGTTTTGCACCTTGCCTAGAGTCTTCTGCTGGTTTCTCTCTTGATCTCGGTCTCTCTCTTTATCTCGCCATCTGCTTCTATTTTTGTGACACACCGCAGCCCCCTCCCCCTCAATTATGGGTCCCCACCCTCCTCTTTTGTATTCGCCACACTATAATACTTAGTCTTTTTTTGCATGTCTGGCGGTGGTTTTATGCTCCTCTTTATGTGAAAATAAAGGGAGTACGAGACCATTTCATTCTCTTCCTTTAAATATAAAATTTAAAATCTTAAAAGCATATGCCATGTTTTGTTTTGTTTTTTCCTGTCCTGCATGTCACTTGATCTTGGAAGAAAATTTGTTCCAAGCCTTAAATGCGTGTTGGGTCTCATGACTCATTCATTTGGCGAGTGTTTTGTGGAGGTGCTGCTGTGTGCCAGGCACAGGTGCCGATGGGATAATGATGGGCGGGATGGGCACAGCCGCCGCCCTGCTGGTGCTCACGGGCACTGCAGGTGCAAAGGAGACCAGGGTGGTCTGGCGTGACCATTGCTGAGGTGCAGGCGGGTCAGGGAGGCCAGACCAGGACAGTCTGGAATGACATGTGCACTCTTAGGTAAGACGTGATGGCCAATTAGGGACTCATCTGTTGGATTCACAACTTGGGGCTAACTCCTTCAACAAAACCATGCCAAGAGAGTACTTGGAAGACTTGCTTTAGAGGGAGGGGCTTGCTGAGGGCGTGGCCTACGGACCGGAACCTGAAGCAGGTGACAGAGCCAGCATAGCAAAGAAGGGAGCCCTTCCTTTCTCTGTCATGCTGTTTGCTTTCTCTTTTGGTGGTGGGAGGAGAGTGTTCTGTGCCCAGAGTCAGCATGTGCAAAGGTCCCGAGGCAGGAAAGAACTTGGTATATTTGAAGAGCTAAAGGAGGGCCAGTGTCACTTGAGTTTAGCTTGGAGGGTGATGGTTGTCAGGGCCAGAACATGCATGACTCCTAGGCCCAGGTGGGGAGCTAGGGTTTTATTCCAGGGCAAGGGGAAGGGAGTGACGAGCTTTGAGGAGGGGAGGAAGGTGATTCTGATTTAATATTCTTAGGACCACTGGGTCTTCTCTCTAGAGAGTGGGTTAGAAGGACTAAGGGAGGAAGCAGGGAGATAATTCAATGGGCCGTGGCAGTGGCAGGTGAGGGATTGAGGTGGGAGTAGCTTCCACAGGTGGTGCTGGCTTACATGTGGGAGGTGAGGAGCACCTGGGTGGAGGGCGGGGCCCTATACCGTGTGGGAAATGTGGGAAGAAGTCGTTTCTTAGGGGAAGATTGTGAGTTCAGATGGGGCGTAGGAAGAAGAGCTTGTGAGGCATCCAAGCAAAGGTGTCGGGCAGGCAGTGGGGTACGTGGGCCCGGAGGTCAGAAGCACATCCTGACTCTGCAGCTGTCTGGCCTGCGGGGTGGCACAGGGCCACCTGCACCATCACTGGTGGCCTTGGTGTGTATCTGCGTGTCCTGGATTTATTCCTCACACCCTCTGTTGCAGTTGACATCTCTCTCCAGAAGCAGTGGACTGAGGGGAGAACCAAAGAAGAGGCTGGAGAAATAAGATCACAAACTGACAAACTCATGGGGATCAGGCAGCGAAAGGAGATGACTGAATTCGCCAAGTGCCGCAGAGCAATAGGGGGTGGTGGGGAGTAGGGCACAGCAGTGTGTGCGCCTCAGCTCAGGGAGGCAGCCACGCTTCAGCCCCCATTGGTTGTACCGTGTGGGAGTGTGGGTCCAATGTTGCCACCTTCTACAGGTTTTTCCCCCCCAAGGGGAGCTAGGATTCTGATTTTTTTTATGTCTGATTATGAAGTTTTGGCTACTAAATCAACCTTTGGATTACATTTGGCTTAAGATAAATATCAAGTTCA